TATGTAGTAAAACAACCTTATCATCAAGGCATGTTATTACTACACATAAGTAATATACCTTATTGTCTCCCCTAGTCGACCCATTTCAGTCATATCTAGGTCACAACACAACATTCTTGCCTTTCACAGGTATCGACTAATACAATTCATCATTAAGACTTCCGTCTTATTGTTATGCGGAATAGTCTCTAACTTTTACTTGATTTACTTTATTCACTGTTAATTAATAGTATAGAATAGGTTTAACATAATACAGTTTACATTCTTTAGATATAGTACACAACTTATGTTTACTCAAACACAATATTTGATATTTATATATTACAGTTACAGACTGTATAATATTAATAAACTGTCAATTGATAATTTAATCTTAGCATCCTTGTTTAACTCTATAGCATGAGTAATCGTTCTCGTGCAGTTGACGATGACCTGTATGCCATCTCTCCCTCAAATTGTAGCTTTTAGCTGTGCTACCATAATGTTTTCCTAGATTTCGTGTAACTCGTGTTACTTCATTTGTTTTAATATTCTCCTCTGGTTTCTGAACAACGTCAGTAGTTATCTTGCTTTGTGTACGTTCGTTTGGTTCATCAATCAATTTAATATAAATATTATGGCATTGCTTTGGCCTCTCACAATATGTGTTGCGTCGGTAACTTCCATTAGTATACCTATTCACACTTTTGTTATTCTGATTTGAACTTGATACATTATTTCTTAAATTACTGTATTTCTCACATGACTTTCTGTGTACATAATTTTTTCTTCTCTGATTTGCCAACCTATGCCAACATTGATTTTGGTAATGACCTGTTTTTCCGCAGTAAAAACATCTAGATTTTGGCTTCTTATAAACATGGTGACTGTATTCATAGTTTGCTAAATTTCTTTTTCTTTCATTCTGTGCATTAATGACATTAATGACATTCTTATTAACATGTTGACTGTATTCATAGTTTGCTAAATTTCTTTTACTTTCATTCTGTGCATTAATGACATTGTAGTTTCTAGTTACTGTTTCATCTTTCTTAACTTCTTTGTGCTTCTTTATTGATTCTAATTCACACATAAATTTCTGTGTTAATTTCTCCATTTCTTTGTTAAATTTATTCTTGAGTTCTAGTATATCTTCTTTATAGTTTGACTCCAATTTTCGAAGTAAATCTTCAATAGGTACGTTCTCTTCAATGTGGCTTATTAAGTTCACTGATTCATTAATCATCATTAGTTTATCATGATTCCTGCCATTCTCCGATGGACTTATTAAATCATTACTGCCATTCACTGATGGGCTTATTAACTCATTTTTACAACCATTCTCTGATGGACTTGTTTCTTGTTGACTGCCATTCTCTGATGGACTTACGATACAACTTTCAATAATATTCTCGTGTACCTGTGTTTGAGTCAATAAAGAGTCAATCTTAAAACATTCTAATGTATCTGTCACCTTTAAATCATTATTAAGTTCAACCTCTGTTTTATCCTTGGGTTTCAATTCTTCCTGGACTATGTTACTCTGTTCTTCATTCCAAAGGTTGCCAATATTTACTTCTTCAAGTTCTGCTTTAAATTCTGTCTGTTCACTTTCTAATTTTGGTTCATTTGTGTCTGTTATAGCTTTCATTTCTAATAGTTCTTGTTTATATTCTAGTTCATGTAGGCCAACTTGTTTTTCCAAAGTTTCAGCCCTTTTATCTGCTCTCTGTTTTCTGTTTCTTTTTTTTTCGCTTTCCTTTTAGTTGTACAGTCTCTTCTACTTTATCTACTTCTGAAATTTCTTCTTCTTTTTGCATGTCTGTAATAGCTCTTGATCTATTACACACTATTTCTATCACATCATCTAGTTCTCTCAATACATTTCCATGAGCTCGTCGGGGTTGGTCTGTTTCTTCGTCCCATGCTTCTTTTGCTTCTTCTATGTCTTTTTCAAGTCGATTGGTTGCCCAGGCTATCTGCTTATTCATCTTCTTAATGCCTTGTGCCCTCGCCATTTCCATATATTTTTCCAGTTCTGTTTCATGCTTGTGTTTTCGGTCATCTTCTTCTCTTTTTGCTGTAATCTTTCTTTCATCATCTTCTATTTTCCAATTCCTTTCCTCTAACCTCCTAGCCCTCTCTTCTGCCTTCCTAGCCTTCTCTTCTTCTTTTTCTTCAGCTTTCGCCTTAGCAGCTTTTTCTTCTCTAGCCTTCTCTTCTTCTTTTCTCTCAGCTTTCTCTTTAGCAGCTTTCTCTTCATCTTTCTTTAGTAGTTCTTTTATAAATGCCAACCTGTCTTCCTTCGGAATGTCAAGTTCCTTCACAAGTGCTGCATATGTTTCAAAATTTGACATTTTGATATATTTTCTATGACATAAAATATAAATTCATTAGTTGACAATAGATAAATATTAATTAATTTACAATACCCTTTCTTGGTTTCTGGCTTGTTTTAGTTGATTACAGACATCTGGTAATCCAAGAAAAGTTCATAGTACATACATACGTCCAAAAATAGTTCACTTTGTTGATTCCAAAAAGTTGAAAAAATTCAAAATAGTTCTAGTAGCCTGTTACAGAGTAGAAATTTGTCCAGTTTTAGATAAGACATCTTTAGGAACAGTTTAGGAACAGTTACAAAATAAACTTGATCTGCTAAATCCAAACAGTAGAAAAACTTGAACAGCTAATCCATATAGAAAAAACTTGAACAGCTAAATCCAAACAGTAGAAAAGAAACACTAAGACTTGATCGGCTAAATCCAAACAGAAAAAACACACAGACGATATTTACTCGACATTGGTGAGACAATATCGAAATAAGGTGATAAAAATTATCACGTTGATGACTTGACTTGAACAAAACGTCTGACTTGACTACAGCAACCCTTCTGACTTGAGTGTAGATAGATGACTTTCAAGAACTTGACGTACTTGGTAAACAGTGGAAGACCACAGACTGTAATATCTCTATTTCTGACATATGTAGCACCAATTCTTCAACCACTTGTGACATCATAAGTAACAGTAATACAATGTAGCAACATCACTTTATTGCCTCCACTTCTGACACCATATGTAACAACATGTATCCTTTGTTGTTGTGGGTTAGCTTTCATACAGGAACACGAGCAACAGTGGCAACTTCAAATGACAACTTTATTTACACTATGTACAGATAAATCCGTGGTACATCCATATTTGAAGATCAACTGATATAGGTACAAATAATAATCACGACTCCAAGTCATGGAGACATCTTACATTCACTGCCATCGTTCCAGTCCCAAGTCCTAGCACACAACACCCGTTCACCTTTTTCTCTCCCTTTTATTCACAACTTTCTCTCCCCTTACGTCAATGAGCGATCTCACCCAAAAGCATGAAAAAACAAATGACGATCGCTCAGACAGTCCTTCCGCTAGCCAGGTACTCTTCATTCATGCAAAACACAATATAATAAGGATACATAATAATACAGTCTGTGACAATTAGAATCAACACCCCTGACCTGTAGTTATGCACATTTTATCATTAGAATCAACACCCGTTACCTGAAGTTATGCACATTTTATCATTAGAATCAACACCCCTGACCTGAAGTTATGCACATTTTATCATTAGAATCAACACCCCTGACCTGAAGTTATGCACATTTTATCATTAGAATCAACACCCCTGACCTGAAGTTATGCACATTTTATCACTATAATCAACACCCCTGACCTGAAGTTATGCACATTTTATCGAATCAACACCCCTGACCTGAAGTTATGCACATTTTATCACTAGAATCAACACCCCTGACCTGAAGTTATGCACATTTTATCGAATCAACACCCCTGACCTGTAGTTATGCACATTTTATCGTTAGAATCAACACCCGTTACCTGAAGTTATGCACATTTTATCATTAGAATCAACACCCCTGACCTGAAGTTATGCACATTTTATCATTAGAATCAACACCCCTGACCTGAAGTTATGCACATTTTATCATTAGAATCAACACCCCTGACCTGAAGTTATGCACATTTTATCGAATCAACACCCCTGACCTGAAGTTATGCACATTTTATCATTAGAATCAACACCCCTGACCTTGAGTTATGCACATTTTATCATTAGAATCAACACCCCTGACCTGTAGTTATGCACATTTTATCATTAGAATCAACACCCCTGACCTGAAGTTATGCACATTTTATCATTAGAATCAACACCCCTGACCTGGAGTTATGCACATTTTATCATTAGAATCAACACCCCTGACCTGGAGTGAATCAACACCCCTGACCTAAAGTTATGCACATTTTATCATTAGAATCAACACCCCTGACCTGAAGTTATGCACATTTTATCACTAGAATCAACACCCCTGACCTGAAGTTATGCACATTTTATCATTAGAATCAACACCAGTGACCTAAAGTTATGCACATTTTATCATTAGAATCAACACCCCTGACCTGTAGTTATGCACATTTTATCACTAGAATCAACACATCGTGACATTTAGGTTTTCAGCCATAATTTGTTGTGGCGTAATTTGATGAATTTAATTTAGTGTTTATGATATTTATATTAAGAGAACAAAAGCACGAAAACAGTATCCATCTCTTGCAACGTTAGCGGACACTTCTGCCACATCTCATAACCTCTGGTAAAAGTTCAATACAAATATTTAAATTTATTGACAAAAAAAATCAACAACAACAGCTATTGAAAACTTATTTACGCCCTATGTGGGAAATCGTTTTTATACTCTTTAAATTTGTATTAAGAGAAACAAACAGACACAAGATTTTAAAAATAAATTGTAATTTCACTTTAATTGGAAAAAAAAAATTATATAAGCAAAAACTTTTAAAAAAATATCATAGAGGCCTAGTAAACATGTTGAAAACAAAAGTTGGCCAAACATTTTAGATTCAAATACATTGAACTGACTTATTAAACACATTCAAATAAAAAATGTCATCAAGCACAAGAAAAAACAGTTCAGTTCATATTGCTCGTTCATTCAGTACGTAATTCTGGATCAAAGAAATCTCAACATTTATAACAAGCTAAGTAAACTAAAACTTAAACACCCAAACGTGATCATGAGCGTGGACTTACGTTACCTTATCCTGTTACATAGTCCGCCATGAAAATAATTTCTTATCCTTTAGAAAAAAATTTCAGTTTCTAGCCCAACCCCTCCTTTTAATGCACCTCTAACAACCTGATAATTCATTATGGTATAACATCATCCTTACTTTCAATCGTCTGCTTATAATCTCCCTTCTATATACATGTTACAACCCGACCTCTTCCTTTTATATACCAGTTATAACCGGACTTCTATTCAAAGTAACTCACATAAATCGACCACTACTTTCTGCTAGCAAAAATATTCTATAACGAAAGCGTCGACAGAACAAGTTCATCGGCTGCCTTGTGACATATAACTATATAAATTATGGTACCTAAATAAAGTTAATCCTAATTCGAACAATTTAACGTGTAATTGGACAAGTTCACGTATTTACAAAACGGTCCGTTTGACATAAATATACCTTCGTCAAAAAAGTGAACACATCATGAACAATGTACCAAGTCAAATAAGTGAACACATCATGAACAATGTACCTAGTCAAATAAGTGAACACACCATGAACAATGTACCAAGTCAAATAAGTGAACACACCATGAACAATGTACCTAACATGAAAACACCTGGGTGGTTGAAATCATTGACGGCATTGTTTGGCTTGTCTGTGGGAGATGGAGAGGGCGGGGTAGGCGGGGAGGATTTCCTTTCATCAATTTCTTCCTCAAACAGCTGGTTGGTAAAGGTCAGAGTGTAGTACACACGATTCTCATCATCTGAAATGGTCGGATCACTTGGGGGACATTTTAGGCTCGGGTCATCGCAAGACGAACCTGCCAGAGGTTAGGGCTACAGTGGGTGCTTGACAACATGACGAATTATTGAAACAAATTTAATTTAACAGTAGCAAATATAACAGTAGCAAATATAACAGTAGCAAATATAACAGTAGCAAATATAAAAGTAGCAAATATAACAGTAGCAAATATAACAGTAGCAAATATAACATGCTTACTGTCAAAATACTAAATAGGTGTAATAACAGTGAATAGTGAAGGTAATAGGTTGGTCAACTAAAACAATTAAGAGAATTATACTGTGGCTAAGAGACCCGCGACAAAACGGCCCCGTCCATACTTCACCCCTCAAAGTCTCTAATAACATCTCCAGACAAAAAACCCGCGGCAAAATGACTCCATCTGCTCTTTTAAAGCCCTTATCTTAACATAATTTGAAAATTAAGCTGTAACTAACTCAACAACTCAAGACATTCAGGTCACTTGGAAGATTAACGCCATTTTAAATTTAAAACTCTTTCCATATATTCCCTGTTAATAAATCGCCTCCACGCACTGAGCTTCTGAGTTCCATTACGCTCTTACACTTAGGTACAGGATCCACCTGGTTGATTCCGAAGAGTCTGGTTTGTCGGACTCCCAATTCCCCTACATTATAACGTGGGGGAGGTGAGGTGCAAGACTGCCGGGAACCAAAAGGGGTCTGCTCTCGACCCTAACCAGATATTTTGACTTTAAGCTGCGACCTTCACGTGGCTTCGGAAGAGTGCCACTAGTCGGACCAAGCTCACGACCCCCCCCCCCCCTAGTGGGTGCGGAATGGCTAGTGGTAGCCAACAGCAGCTAGAGGTTTTTGATCTGGCCTAACGCCCCCCACGATCAAGCCGGATACCAGGCGATAGGACGACGTCCCGCGTCTGGTGGGTGGGGAAGGAAAGCCCAGTGAGAGCCGACGGAAGTAGCGACCGATGTGTGGGAAACTCTAGTGGTCAGAGTTTGCTGCATTGATGCCTGCCTGGCTAATGGAAGTCAACCTTCTGAGCCGGTTTCCGTAGAGAGAGAGAGAGAGAGAGAGAGAGAGAGAGAGAGAGAGAGAGAGAGAGAGAGAGAGACCCACGTTTGAAGACCTTTGAGTTCAATTAATTTTAGCCTCACATATGCATTTTTTGTGTTAGGTAATTAGTAATGAAATGAAAACATTTATCGCAATTAAATCAGGCATACAGTGTACTTCAGTGAGTAGAGTAACATTTTTCCAAAACACTTTACCCAAACTATTGACTTTTAGAGTGGATATTTTACACAGATTTGTATAATTAGCATCAATATAGTAAAGTAAGTCGTTCCCTTTTCAGAACAATGGCAAGCTGCCTTAACTTTCCTCATCAGAACTGGCATCTGAACTCTATAGACTTTCAGGCTAGCAGCAGAACACTACCGTTTGACCACGCGTAATTGGCGTATATACATTATAAGTATTACCTTTTCTTTTAGTATTTAACGAAACTGTTTTTTTTTAATGAATAGCCTGAAAACGCATTAACTTGTTAGGCTTCCGCCACATTTTAAGCTGCGGTTAAACTCTCAACATTTATAAAGCTCCAATACAATATCATCTTCCGCAATTTATTTAGCTCTTTAATCACCGTAGATTCCCCCATGCCATTTATCACTCATAGTAAATACTAGCCTTTCGAGGATACGTATTATACATGTTAACGGTACTTTGAGAAACTCGACATTTTATATAATGCATAGGCGTCGTAGGCATTTTGTCCTTATCTAGGACTTTTATGGATTACAGCACCTGATAGCCGACAAAATGCAGAGTAAGTTCTTTTACTCCAGAACACTTCTTAATTTAAATCGTAACCAGAATCCTAACACTAACCCGAACGCTAGTTAAACACTAAAACTAACCCTAAATCAATAACTTAAACTACAGCCCCAAATAAAAACCCTACACATAACTCAAATAGCAATACTATAAAACCCTAACTGTAACCCTAACTCTACAATAAACCTAGCACCAACTCAAAAAATAACCATACCTTAACCTTAATCCTAATACCATAATCCGGGCTCTCACTGTAACCCTAGTGCTAATCCTAGCACTAACACTCAACCTAAGATTACCTTTCCATTTTGAGTTACGTTTACTGTCAGGTTTAGATACAGGGTCAATTTTTCATTGCCAGGGTAGGGGAGCGGTGATATGTAAAACTTCAGGTCTTTGTGGTGGGGAAATGACTGGAGAGTTAATGACAGGGCTTCTGGACACACGGTAGAAATCTCGCTTGCTAACCCGAGTCAATAGCTCGGTACCCGGCCATGAGACCGTCGGTGCAAATGAAAAGTCTGGCATCAACCTTCGGGTCTAGCGGCTGGCTATCTGGTCTGGCATCAACTTTCGGGTCTAGCGGCTGGCTATCTGGTCTAGCATCAACTTTCGGGTCTAGCGGCTGGCTATCTGGTCTGGCATCAACCTTCGGGTCTAGCGGCTGGCTATCTGGTCTGGCATCAACCTTCGGGTCTAGCAACTGGCAATATGAGCTTTGGATATGCTCGAAGTTTCAACCTGCTTTAGCTTGCTTTGCTAATGAAGTTTACTTGAGCAGGTAGGTCCATATTAGAGATAGAAAGAGAGAGATAGAGACAGAGAGAGAGAGAGAGAGATAGAGACAGAGAGAGAGATGGGGAGGTGTGAAGAGATAGAGATTAAAAAGGGGGGAATTGAGGGAGAGAGACTTATAAGCGATCTATTACTCGGGAACCATAATGACGTGGGCCTTTTTTTTGGGGGGGGGGGGGGGGGGGGGGGCATATTGCTGAAAGGCTATTAAAAGAAAACCATTAACAACGGCTTACTTATTGGTGTGATGTATTTGTTGTCAAAGTCGATCCAAGATATGCCCCGTAACGTTAAACCTTCGGGCAGCTTTATCTTGCCCGTTAGACTGTGTTAAAATACAAATGATTGGAAATATAATTAGTTAATCATCAGCCTCCGAACTCACACTGAACCTTTTAAATACAAATATTTGTAACAAGCGGGAGTGATCTCCACCTAACTTTTCGTAAATTCTTATATAACAGTAAGAGGGGTGGCATTTTCTGTGCAATCGTGATATATATATATATATATATATATATATATATATATATATATATATATATATATATATATATATATGTATGTATATATTTACAAGCTACTATTTAACTTGCTTCCTCTGTCTGTCTTTTATGCTTTTGTCTGTCGTTCGTCATAGATCGAAGCTGCCAAGCGAAATGTAGAGCACTTCTAACTGACTATCCAACGACTATGCAATCTGACATCAAGTTTGACTTAATTGGATGACTAATTAATTTTTTATGAATTAATTAAACTTTTCTTCACTATTATACGCGCATTATCATGTTCATTTGGTGCGCAATTGTTTTTAGTCATGCTACGTTATTGCATTAAAATAATTTGAAGTAGTGAAAAAATGCATAAAAACAGTTTCAATAGCAATCTTTAATGTAGGCCTAATCAAAACTTTGCCGATACAATTTTTAAATAAATATAATTTTTTTTAAACCGCATAATATTATATCAATGTTTAAAATTATGTTAATCTAAGGGAAAAAGTACTTACGATATGGATATTTTTTAATTAATAGTACTGCTTCTGGTTATCGGTGGTCACTCAAAAATTTAAAAAAATAATTTAAGTGTAAGGTCTTAACTTATACATGATATTTCTTTTACCTAACTGAAACAGTACTTTAATGAAAGTGTTCACAAAGAAATTGGGTAAAGCACCACATCTTTCGAACGTCAAAAGAATGCTGCACATACTATTTAATTTATATATATGAAATTTCCCTTACCTAACTTAAACGGCGATCTAGTTATTGGTTTTTGAGAAACCGGTAAAATGTATACCACTTACGGTTACTGGAAATAGCTCAACAGTTGATACTGATCTACGAATTTGATATAATACTTATATATGAAATTTCCTCAACATAACCGAAACAGACAAAATTTGTAAACCAAGATTTTCCGTTTTGGAAAGATGTAAAACGTCAAAGTTTGTCAAAATCTATGTTTAGATTTTTTTATCACGATAACAATGCGTACTTTATGTTCCGTATACGATACAGTAGAAAGGTGTAAAGCGGCGTAAACTGTCAAAATATAAGCTATATACTCAGCACGATTACAATACTTCCACTATACTATGTATACGAGAAAAAAAACAACCACTTATGCGTAAAGTGCTTGCATACATGTGAGAAACTACATTGCTGATACTTGCCAGCTATTAGATGAAACACTAACACTACCTGTCAGACGAAGGTTCACCATTTTGCTGGTCGACCGATGAGAACAGCAAGAAAAACAGCCGCTTCGTGGTGTTACCCATCAAGATAAAATCATCGTTGCCCCCAATTCTTGGATCTATGTCTGGTAATGAAATGATTTTATTCATAACAAAGAATATATTAAATAAAAGGAAATTATCTCCCCCAAACTTTCTCGAATATTCTTATCCTAATATATAAAAGCCCATTTGCGCAATTCTCTCTCTCTCTCTCTCTCTCTCTCTCTCTCTCTCTCTCTCTCTCTCTCTCTTTCCCAAAATATTTTCGCAGGATATCACATCAGAATCTGCAGTAATATATGAAGAACTTTGGTTCAAAATAATATGTTAGATGTTTTAAATGTATAAACAATATTTTTTATTTTTCTTCTTTAAATAAAATTAAGGCATATTCAAATGTAGAAAAACAGTTTTAATTATGCAACCAGAAGTGCTTATAGTTGGGACAAGAACGCATATATCGATGACGTCACATGTCATATGTTTGAAGTACGGAAAGTACACAAAACCAATGGCGTCATCTTCCAATTTTAGAATACGAAGAAATGAACTATTTGACTTAGATCTATAGATTTACTTATCGAGACGTAATTTATGAAATTAATACAATTTCCTTGGCCAAAACTATTACAAACTACTTTAAAAAACAACATAAATATCATTGAAAAGCCGGGTTTTTAACGAAGTCTTTTAATCAATGTGCGCATTTAATATGGTGTTGTGTTGACTAATTATGTATAAAATTTGGTTTTATTTTTTCTAATAGGTATTGGTAGCCTATGTTATTTTAAATCTGTCGGACTTTTAACTATTTAGTTATTTCTTTGCTTTGTCACTAATATCGTTAAACCTGTAGAAAAGCACACTGCGTTTTGACCAATAACTATTTTATAAAATATTCTTCTAAATAAACCGGGAGTGATCTCCCCTAAACTTTCTCGAATATTCTAATATAAAATTACGAGGGATGGCAACTCAGGACATAGACAATTTTTGTTATCTATTTTTAATTATTTAAACTTTCTATAATTGAATAGAATCTCGTAAAAAAAAGAATTGCACACCAAGTGAAAAGTTTCCCTTTCAAACCTGACGGTCTATGGGGCAAGTGAAGTAGAGTTCACTTGTTTCTGTGACCTCGGCATATAAAGAGATAGTGTGGTCAGTACAAGGCCCAGTCTACTGACTTGAACTCGGATTCGAACTCGAGACTAACGGGTTAGCAGTCCAGCTCTCTACCGCTAGACCACTCCGTCCCACACCTAGTGAACGCTTAATAAAATGTGTATAAAAGTGCAGGATATTATTAGTACTTTATAAATTTGCATGCGTTTTTTGAGAAATCGGAAATAGCGTAAATTACTACTTCCGGTCAACGGAAATTACTCAAAATTTGACAGAAAGTAGAGAATTAGATCTTTTACTTACATGTGAAATTTCATGCATCTATCTAAAATAGTACGCAACTTATAGGCTTTTTGAAAAATTCAAAGTAGAAAAAGTACCACTTCCGGTTATCGGAAATCGCTCAAAAGTCAATCAGGATCTACGATTTTGATAAAATACTTATATATGAAATTTCATCAACCTAGCTGTAACGGTACTCAAGTTATCGTGTTTACACACAGACAGACACAGACATACGGACAGAATTGCAAAGTCCAGTTTTTACGACTCGATAACGCATAAAACGCCAAAACGTTTATATATTTGTATTTATAATTTTTGCCTGATTAAAATAAGTCCTCTATACTCCGGATGTGATGAAGGACTGAGGAGTAAAACGGTGAAAACTGTCAAAATCTCATGTTATTTTTGTGCACGATTACAATACTTTCTCTATACTTCGTATATACGAGAAAGTAAAAAATGTATACCATTAAAAATATATAGACCGATAATTCACGTGTAATGGGTACCAACGGCTAGTACAACACTAAGGGGAAAGCAACTCGGGATATAGACAATATGTTTAATCCATTTTTAATTACTTAAACTTTTAAAAATAGAATAGAATCACGTAGAAAAAAGAATTGCACACCAAATGAACGCCAAAAAAATATGTATAATAGTGCGGAATATTATTAGTACTTAATAAATTTACATGCGTTTTTTTGAAAGAAATCTGTAACGGTACTCAAGTTATCGTGTTTACAGACACACACATACACATCAGAACCCTATAATAATAAAGGAGATCGCACGGTGAAAACGGCAGTAGCCAATCCGGCCAGGCCACAGGAGAAACAATTATTTAAGGTCATTAGGGTAAAGACCACGTACACACTCAGGGCTCTTATGATATCACCAGAAGAAACCATGGGAGACAATCTCGGTACCACTTCATGAGCTCGGTGAAATGCTATGCGCCCACTAATGCACTACCAGAGGAAGGAAAAGAAAGAGGAGTTATGCGATACACTCGGCGGGGGGGGGGGGGGGGGGGGGGCGGAGGACATGGGGGAATAGGCTATTAACCCAATCATGATTTTTAACATTTAACGATGCTTTATTCGTGTATACATACTGACAAGCGCTGTTGAAAAATATGCCTCCTGCTTCACTTGACTTGGGGAACAAACCTTAGCAGTCATTTCTACATGCCTACATTCCTACATTCGGCCTGTTTTTGAATGTTATCTTTAAGTGCTCACTCCGGCTTAATTGACTGGGGAGTAATTACTCCGGGGGTAATGTCGGAGTGGGGATGTCAGGGGGATATTGCCGGGGTTGGGGTAGGGGGTGGGGGTTATGCCCTGTTCCTATACAAAATACTCCAATTTGAAAAACTGATGAGCATAACATTGATACCGTCGGCTGAGGGTTCCAGGTCATACTCACATTTTTTTTAAATATCTTTTTTAAACAGTCAAATGTTTTATTCAGCCACATGTTGTGTTTTGGGAATCTTGTTTGTTACGTCGTTTTCAGATTGCACAATTTGAAACTTCTAATCAAAATTGTTCTACCCCGATTGTGTTGCTAGTTACATGGTACGGTATACTTATGTATCAAGAGGGGCAGGTTATGTAGGAAATTACGTCTAGGATATAATACTAAAGGTGGGGAGAGTGAGTTGGCTTACAGAGCCCCTCCCCCACCTAGACCTCCTGCTGGTAGCAGTCGGGAAAATCCATCCCACTACAAAAGAAGACAAATAACAAAAAGGCAATTCCTCCATCAGATGTCAGAGAAGGTAAAAACTTCACTACGACAAGACATCATGAAGAGACTCTTTAAAGTAACTTGAACACCCTCAGGAGAGATCTTTAACCCGAACAAACCAGTTAGGATACAAAATGAAATGTCTTAACAAGTGACTTAGAACAGGGAGACGATGGTTTCCGCTCTATTTTGAGTTTCTTTACAAATCTTTGTCATCAACCATTCACCATATACCAATAGCTAATCACCTACAACTTATATAAATTTGACAAGACTTAGTTGCTTTTTTTTTGGTGCGCGGACCTTTGACCACAGGTGCTTTGACCATAGGGGGTTTGACCATAGGTGGTTTGACCACAGCGGAGCTTTGACCACAGGGGTTTGTCCACAGCGGGGCTTTGACCACAACGGGGCTTTGACGACAGGGGCTTTGACCATAGGGGCTTTGACCATAGGGGCTTTGACCACATGTGTTTTAGCAGCAGAGGTTCATTGATCACAGGAGGTTTGTCCAATGCGGGCGTTTCATAACAAGCACTTTGTCCATATATGGTACGGATTATTTTAAAAAATTGGAATCAAACACAAACACTATTGGCAATTGTGTAGCACAAACAAATAACATTTGTGAATGATGGCAATACAGTCTTCAGTCTCTCCTCCAATGTAGTCACCCAACAATGTGGCGTTTCCTTGAAGGTCCACATATGGACTGCACACAGCAAAAGACAACTTTCTTGAAAGGTGTCGCAGGAGCAAGTACCCAGCTGAGAAGCAATACAGAATACTGCACGGAAAATTACAACGTGCTGTTAAGACATATGGTCAAACAGATGTACCGACATATAGTCAAACTAAAATATCGATATTGACTTTTTTAGAACATGCTAATTTCAATTAATGGACTCTCAGGAAACATGTTTACAATTGTAATAATTGTATCATAAATTAAGTTAAAATAACAATTTCGAATATCTATTTTAAAATCTATATATTATGTTTAACCCCCATCTATGGTCAAAGCCCCGCTGTGGTCAAACCCCCTATGGTCAAAGCACCTGTGGTCAAAGCACCTAGGACCCTTTTTTTTTACTAGTTAAATTGTGTTACAAGTGAAAAAATAACGGCGATTTCTTATATTTTTACCACCCACCCAATATTAAAATATGATTCTGTCAGACGCGGTGATCAAAATTGTTTCAGTGAATGAAAAAACCTACCAGTAAGTCTCACGTTGAGCAGCTTATAAATCGTTTGTACACGATAATCTCCCATGTTGTTAGTGACTACACCGAAAAATGTGTAGAGGTTGTTGTCTCCTGAAATGAGTGTTTGTAAATAATTGTCATCCTAGCATCAGGTTGTTTGTTCAGCCTTGCCAACCCTACATTAACAACCAAATGTCCCTAAATCTATATTGCCAACCCAACATTAACAACCTGATTTCCCTTAATCTATACAGCCAACCCTAATTTACCAACCTCAAGTTCCCAACTTTATAATGCAAAGATGCAAGTCAAAACACACTGTTCTGTTCTGGAACCAATCCGAGATCATGCACGTTAATAGTAAAACTATTCTCTCAATGGTATTGCTCACAGTTCAGCAAGATGGGACCTGGCACTACCTACCTTGACAACGATGCGCCTGCTCACAGTTCAGCAAGATGGGACCTGGCACTACCTACCTTGACAACGATGCCCCTGCTCACAGTTCAGCAAGATGGGACCTGGCACTACCTACCTTGACAACGATGCCCCTGCTCCTTAAAGCTTGACATGGAAGCAGTTTGACCACATGATTAAAACAAACAAAGCACGTTTGGGACATTTACTTATTTCTTTAGCATAAATGTTCATCTAAGTGCTAAACATGTAAGCACTTAGTCCAGATTATTTAGTTTTTCTATTTACCGTAAATGTTCAACTCAGTGCTTGATATCTCGATCTCCCTGTTGCCATGACATTTCCACTGACATAATCTTTCATAGCTATCCACTTTAAAATCATCGCCTGGTATTCCCCGATGACTCCCGGGTCTAAAATATATTTGACAGGAATACATTAACAAGGAGTTCGCATTACATTTTATGGCACATTTTTAAACAGCCTAAAATTTCAAAATTTGGAACAATAATTTCCCTTATAATAGTTTACCTCGAGTTACGATTTATACCATGGCAGCAATCGATTTCAAAAGCACCAGCAAAGAAGGCGTAGAAATACATATTTACGTACATGTCAATTCCACTCAAGTCAAGATTAACAAATTGATTTTTTATCTTTTCGTTGTCAGCATCTATGTAAGGAACAGATAATTATTTTGTCAAAATTTTGTCGTCAAATATTACGTTAAACGTTATAAGGATATTATTCCCCAAGATTGTCTTAAGTACGGAAACATATTATTCCCCAAGACTTTCTTATGTACGGAAACATATTATTCACCAAGACTTTCTTATGTACGAAAACATATTATTCCCCAAGATTTTCTTATGTACAAAATATTATTCCCCAAGACTTTCTTATGTGCGGAAAAATATTATTCCCCAAGATTTTCTATGTACAAAATATTATTCCCCAAGACTTTCTTATGTACGGAAAAATATTATTCCACAAGACTGTCTTAAGTACGGAAACATATTATTCCCTAAGACTTTCTTATGTACGGACTTACATTCTCGAAACTTCTGTGTACAAGTCTTGTCACAGATGTACCCCTCGGTACAAGCCATATACTTTTCAAACATAGAAGATCCGTCAGTGTAAAACACCTGGAGACCTACCACGTCTAGATGTACATAGAAGAACGGCTTGTAAGGATTTTTACAAGTACAATGCAGGTCGTTGTTTTTTACGTACACACTCATGCAAGCGCGCACGAACACATGTTTTCACACGCGCAAATACACACAAACACAAGCACACATACGCACACACGCTGTTTGAAGTATATAATTTTTAAATAAATTCTATTTCGTTCGAGGAGGCGGTATGTAAACTTCGACGCCCCACACCCCCATCCTAAAAGAAGCTTGAAAGAAAATATGTGAAGCTGACCCCGTAGTTGGCCCTCATGACACCCTCGTACACATACACATACACATACGCATACGCATACGCATACGCATACGCATACGCATACGCATACACATACACATACACATACACATACACATACACATACACATACACACACACATACACATACACATACACATACACATACACATACACATACACATACACATACACATACACATACACATACACATACACATACACATACACATACACATACATGCCTAGACTCGACAAGTTATTTCTTAATGCCAACCTGCGCCGTCTCCGAACATAGTCATCATTTTCTCTCGGACCGCAATGGCTGTTTCTTTTGTCGGCCTTTTTCTATACTGGTGCCAATAATCATAGATGTCTTTTTTTAATAGGACAATCAATATCGGGTTGACGATTGGTAACGGGTTGGCGGGGGGCTGATAAAAAGCGGAGGTCTGTAAAATGTTAAGAATTTCACAGTAAAAGATGTGATTTTTTTATTGCGTGTTTTGAAGTTTAAACAAATAACATTGAATCCCAAGTTAACCTTAAGCAACATCTGAACAAACCAAAATAAGCTTTTCAAAAGGGTATACATTCTTCAGTACATGATAGTGTCGAAGTTTAGGAATCGGAAGTCAGAATGATATTTTTATTATTAGCTTGTGTGTGTGTACGTGTGTTTGTGCGTGTGTGTGTATTCTTGGAAATTAACATTGAGTCTGAATATGTCACGCTGTCAGTCATACATTCACGCTGTCAGTCATACAGTCACAATGTCAGTCATACAGTCATGCTCTCAGTCATACAGTCACGCTGGAAGTCATACAGTTATGCAGTCAGTCATACAGTCAGTGATACAATTGTCTGACCATTTATTACACGGTATGTCACAATGTGTCATTTATATATTGTCACATCATGTCACATATCTGTCGGACGGTCTGTCACAGTTTCTGTCACTTTGTATTTCACATTGTCTGCCACATGGTCTGTCAAATTGTCTGTCCCATTGTCCAATTAACTGTCAAACTGACCTTCACACTCGGCGAGCCCACACACAGGGGCGGATTAAGGCTGAGCGGGGCCCCCGGCTGAAGGTTTTTGGGGGCCCCAAAAACATATATATATATATATATATATATATATATATATATATATATATATATATATACAGTGGCGTAGCGAGGTCGGGTGACAACTGGTGCGGCACTTAAATGGCGTCACGCCCCAGAGGCGTAGCGACCCTTCCCGGGCCCCGGTGACAAACTTTTGATTTGCACCCCCCCCCTCATCAAACTTTCGATTTGCACCTCTTAAAAGACTATTTAACACTCGAATTAATCACTTAATTAAGTGGAATTATCATTTTTCTCAATATATTTTGCTACTTTTTGCCATGCTGACACCCCCCTAAATGGTGTCACCCGGTGCGGTCCGCATCCCCGCCCCCCCCCCCCTCGCTACGCCCCTGCAGCCCTTTCAGCACCCCCCTTAATCCGCCACTGACCACACACACGTCGAGCCCACACACTCGGCGAGCCCACACACTCGGCGAGCCCACACACACGTCGAGCCCACACACTCGGCGAGCCCACACACACGTCGAGCCCACACACTCGGCGAGCCCACACATTCGGCGAGCCCACACACACGTCGAGCCCACACACTCGTCGAGCCCACACACTCGTCGAGCCCACAAACTCCATGTGAGCCCACAGATTAACATATTTTATTTCAAGGAAAACTGTAATTCTTCTCGATTAGCACACAGAAAAAAAAAACAATTATTAAAAGAGTTATTTTACCTCTCCTTGAAAAGTTCCATTTTTTTGCTTGATTGAACTCCAAAATGCTCTAACTTTAAGCAGACCCACGTCGTAAATAATTAGAGTAAATGTGTCGGTTTTATTAAAATTTGGACTCCAATTTACTCTTGGTGGTCGGCGATAGATTTGAGATCCAAGCTGAATACAATAGAAAAGTCATACTGTCATTTCACACAGTGACCTTAGGCTTTCGTATAATAAATGCACATCTTAAAAGAAATGTCTTAACATTGTATATACGGTTTGTGGTTACACAACAAGAAATATATTTGGCTATAACGATGGTGATCATATAACAAGAAATATATTTGGCTGTAATGACGGTGATCATATAACAAGATATATATTGGGCTATACAGATGATGATCATATAACAAGATATATATTGGGCTATAAAGATGATGATCATATAACAAGATATATATTGGGTATAACGATGATGATCATATAAAAAGATATATTTTTGGCTATAACGATGGTGATCATACAAAAAGAAAAATATTTGGCTATAAGAATGGTGATCATAAAACAATAAACATATTTGGCTCTAAGGATGGTGGTCATGTATCAAGAAATATATTTGTTTATTAGGATGGTGATCATTATAATAAAAATATATTTGGCTATAGGGATGGTGATCATATAACAAAACATATATTTGGCTATAAAAATGGTTTTTATCATCTAACTATTGACTAGACATACTGAGTTGTTTATAGAGAGAGACGAACACCACACTGAGTAGAAAAGGGGCGACAAACCTTTTACAATGAAACAGCACAATGAGCGACAACTTATAATGTTTTAATGATTTTGGTATTAACTCGCAGAACACTTATCACCTGATAATAATAGTATGTAATGGTCGATGATGAGCATAGCCTTAAAAAATCGAAAGGTGTTAAAAATATTTCCTGTAGTTCCTGTAGTGCCAATCAAGTTTGTCTTAAGGAAATTTCAGGTTATAACCCAGGCTTGATGAAAATAAATAGAAATGTAGCCTTAAACTAAAACAATATTTTCAAGATTCCATGATTTGCATGTTTTATAACATTGATTCTAAAATATTAAATTTTGGAATTATTTTTAGGTTTAAGTTTCTATTTTCTCACGGCCGCCTCGATGGCAAAAGCTAACTAAACCGGGAGTGATCTCCCCTAAACTTTCTCGAATATTCTTATATAAAACAACAGGGGATGGAACTCGGGCTATAGACATGATTTGTAATCCATTTTAAATACTTAAAGTTTTAAAAATAGAATAAAATCTCGTAGACAAAAGAATTGCAGACCAAGTAACCGCCAAATAAAAAGTGCATAATAGTGCGCAATATTATTAGTACTTTAAAAATTTACATTAGTTTTTTGAGAAATCGGAAGTAGCTTCAATTACTACTTCCGGTCAATGGAAATTGCTCACAATTTAACAGAAGGTAGAGAATTAGATCTTTTACTTACATGTGAAATTTCATTTATCTATCTGAAATAGTACTCAAGTTATAGACTTTTGAAAAATTCAAAGTAGAAAAAGTACCACTTCCGGTTATAGTAAATCGCTCAAAAGTTGATACGATCTACGATTTTGATAAAATACTTATATATGAAATTTCATCAACCTAGCTGTAACGGTACTCAAGTTATCGTGTTTACGCATTGACAGCAGACACAGACACACAGACATACGGACAGAATTGCAAAGCCCAGTTTTTCAGACTGGATTACGCATTAAAGCTCTTAATTTTGATAAATCTGGATTTATAATTTTTGCCCGATTAAAATAAGTCCTCTATACTTCGGATGTGATGAAGGACTGAGGGGTAATACGGTGAAAATTGTTAAAATTTCAAGTGATTTTTGTGCACGATTACAATACTTTCTCTATACTTCGTATATACGAGAAAGTAAAAACTAACCTGTTTTTAATAATGTATATTTTCTAAAGGTACCTCCAAATGGGATTTGATTTCTTGACCATTCTCATTTAGCCTGAAGGCTTTCACAGCGTCCATCTCTTGTGATTTGCCACATACGTCCACTTTTTCTGGAGAAAATTAAAACATACAACCACTTTTTCTGGAGAAAATTAAAACATACAACACTTTTTCTGGGAGAAATTAAAATCTACAACCACTTTTTCTGGAGTAAATTAAAACATACAACCACTTTTTCTGGAGGAAATTAAAAAATACAACCACTTTTTTTCTGGAGGAAATTAAAACATACAACCACTTTTTTTCTGGAGGAAATAAAAAAATACAACCTCTTTTTATGGAGGAAATTAATACATACAACCACTTTTTCTGGAGGAAATTAAATAAATGACGACTTTTTCTATAGGAAATTAAAACATGCAATCACTTTTTCAGTAGGAAATTAAAATATGCTTGAATGGTTTTAGAAAATATTAAAGCATGTGTTCATTTTTTTTTCGACTTAAAAATCCCACGTAACTACAAACACCCAAGTGGCACAAGAATACAAACATGCCAAAAGCACATCACTACAAACATGCCACAAACACATCACTACAAACATGCCACAAACATATCACTACAAACATGCCACAAACACATCACTACAAACATGCACAAACACATCACAACAAACATGCCCCAAACACATCACTACAAACATGCCACAAACACATCACTACAAACATGCCACAAACACATCACTACAAACATGCCACAAACACATCACTGCAACATGCCACAAACACATCACTACAAACACCCTAGAGGCATAAGACTACAAACATCCAACAAACAGTCCCCAGATGTACCTTTGGGGCTAGAAAACACAACGTCCAGGTCTGTGGTGAGGGTGATGTTGCTGGGTAGTCCTGCTCGTTCTAACACAGACTCTGCTTGTGGCCTTCAACAAAAGGTTTTTATCGTTTGATACAGGGGTTATTGAAAATTTATAAATACGATAAATAAATACATACATACAAAGATACACACATAGATACACACAGACACACACACACACAGTCATACACACCGACACACACAGACAGAAATACACACAGACAGACACACACACTGACACACACGCACACACACACACACACACAAACACACACACAAACAAACACACAAACAAACAAATGAATAAAACTAAATAAATAAGTAACTATATATATATATATATATATATATATATATATATATATATATATATATATATATATATATATATATATATATATATATAGGCTATATATTATTGCAGTGTAAACAAATTCCTAACAAAAACCGTGTACCTGATGTTAAAACATCGAGTGGGATTTTGAGTTGAATCAGGACAGTCCCGTTGATAACTGTCACCAAACCAAGGCCAGGATTTGTCTTTTAGCCTCTGTAGGATTTCACTGCGGCCTTCAGATGGAAAATATGACGTAAATATGACTCGCGTCACCAAATCAAGACGTGCGTCACAAAGGTACCGTGACTCCTGTCACACCGAAACATGGTCAACTCTGACCTAAGCTCCTGACCTAACAAAGTTTTATAAGCTCCTGACCTAACAAAGTTTTATAAGCTCCTGACCTAACAAAGTTGTATAAGCTCCTGACCTAAGTTTTATAAGCTCCTGACCTAACAAAGTTTTATAAGCTCCTGACCTAACAAAGTTGTATAAGCTCCTGACCTAAGTTTTATAAGCTCCTGACCTAACAAAGTTGTATAAGCTCCTGACCTAAGTTTTATAAGCTCCTGACCTAACAACGTTTTATAAGCTCCCTGTTAAAACAATAAGTTACTTTAGCTATAAATTTGAAATCGGTGTTTGATCTATATGTTTAGATTGTTTTAACAACTCACTTATGGTGCTCACGGATTCTCTAAATGTAGGATATAATTTGCAATTTATTTCAAACAAATTTAAAAGTATTTAAGCAAGAAAAAAACAATAAATTAAAACAAGACAAGATTAAAAAATTACAAACGATAGGATAGGCTGACCCTAGACTAGAATAAAATAAACCCATTAAAACTCAACTTATCACATAGAGTAAACATGTTTTTTTTTCATCAGCGGCTGAATATATAATCAGTAGATTTTTTTCCCCATTGCGACTGTAGAGTAGAATCTAATAATTTTAATTTAATTTAATTAGCTTTTACTGAATAAAGTAGCTAAAATAACTTTAGCTGTCAGCAGTTTCCTCTTCTTAGAATTAGCTGTAATAAATAGTTGAAGCTTTCCGTCTTTGCCTTATACAAATCGAGAAGTAATATTGAATTGTGCGTCTATAGCTTACAGCAGTGGCCATTATAGCGCTAGTAATCAGCAGTGCTTGAGCACTTACCCGCCTCAGAAGTAGCGAGAAACCAGACCAGAACACTGGACAAAACGACAACAGTTCTATTCGAATTTTTCTCAAACATTTCCTGCTCTCACTAGCATGTCCCACGTCTAATAAAAACTGCATTTAGTGCGGACTGCATTCGCATTTAGTGCGCAATTTTATTGAAACGTGAACGCCTGTTCCGTACACATTTATTGTACGCTCTTGCTTTTGAGCAGAATATGTCGACGTTCATGATTAATGATTACGTTTTAATATCAAGCAGATGCTGTGTATTGCATATCTATTCATTTTTTGTTTGGGAAGAAAATGTGCAAGTAAAATAAAATTTTCTGTACGCAATTCAATAGTTTTAGAACCACGAAGAAACATAACTGACCTTATTGTAATTTCTCAATGGCAAAGCAATCAGTTGATTATTGATTGAAATCATGTGCCAATGATATGTTTACAGAATCTCCCCGTGTTACCATTGATCACTATAGGCGGGACTATTAAACGTTTTCCTAGAAAAAAGCGAGGTAAGGCCTTTAGATTTCTTTATATAAGAAGTCGTCTTTCCGGTAAACTAGATCAGTACTTACTTCTGCTCTAGGTAAGTTTGCTCAAAACCTTTATATATATATATATATATATATATATATATATATATATATATATATATATATATATTCTCATTCGTGTCTCTGTTCGTGTTTGTACCTGTTCCTATACTTCTAGTTCTAGTTCTAGTTCTAGTTCTAGTTCTAGTTCTAGTTCTAGTTCTAGTTCTACTTCTACTTTTACGTCTGTATGTCTACGTCTTCTTCTTCTTCTTCTTCTTCTACTTCTACTTCTACTTCTACTTCTACTTCTACCTCTACCTCTACCTCTACCTCTACTTCTACTTCTACTTCTACTTCTACTTCTACTTCTACTTCTACTTCTACTTCTACTTCTACTTCTACTTCTACCTCTACCTCTACTTCTACTTCTACTTCTACTTCTACTTCTACTTCTACTTCTACTTCTACTTCTACTTCTACTTCTACTTCTACTTCTACTTCTACTTCTACTCCTACACATACTCCTACTTCTACTTCTCTTTCTATTTCTCTCCTCTACTTCTACTTCTATACAAATATACTTCGTCCAGTCTATTTCTTGATTTAGTTAAATAAGAAAACATAATGCAATATATAATTCACGTTACCAGACCTTAACATTTGACAACTGATTATTTTTAAGAACTCAAAATCCAAGAAGTTGACAGCCATGTACACTATCTTTGTACAATATTTAATTTACTTATATACCTTTAGAATGTTTATCACGGTAATAATTTAAAAATGTCGGTTCATTTAACCTATATTCCATGTCAGAAATTCGTACCAGTTACTGGCAGACACTTGTCTGATGTTGTAGTCTGATGTTGTACACTTGTCTGATGTTGTAGTCTGATGTTGTACACTTGTCTGATGTTGTAGTCTGATGTTGTACACTAGTCTGATGTTGTACACTTGTCTGATGTTGTAGTCTGATGTTGTACACTTGTCTGATGTTGTAGTCTGATGTTGTACACTTGTCTGATGTTGTACACGTGTCTGATGTTGTAGTCTGATGTTGTAGTCTGATGTTGTACACTTGTCTGATGTTGTACACTTGTCTGATGTTGTAGTCTGATGTTGTACACTTGTCTGATGTTGTAGTCTGATGTTGTACACTTGTCTGATGTTGTACACTTGTCTGATGTTGTAGTCTGATGTTGTACACTTTTCTGATGTTGTACACTAGTCTGATGTTGTAGTCTGATGTTGTAGTCTGATGTTGTACACTTGTCTGATGTTGTAGTCTGATGTTGTACACTTGTCTGATGTTGTACACTTGTCTGATGTTGTACACTTGTCTGATGTTGTACACTTGTCTGATGTTGTACACTTGTCTGATGTTGTAGTCTGATGTTGTACACTTGTCTGATGTTGTACACTTGTCTGATGTTGTACACTTGTCTGATGTTGTACACTTGTCTGATGTTGTAGTCTGATGTTGTACACTTGTCTGATGTTGTACACTTGTCTGATGTTGTACACGTGTCTGATGTTGTACACTTGTCTGATGTTGTACACTTGTCTGATGTTGTAGTCTGATGTTGTATACTTGTCTGATGTCGTATACTTGTCTGATGTTGTACACTTGTCTGATGTTGTAGTCTGATGTTGTACACTTGTCTGATGTTGTACACTTGTCTGATGTTGTACACTTGTCTGATGTTGTAGTCTGATGTTGTACACTTGTCTGATGTTGTACACTTGTCTGATGTTGTACACTAGTCTGATGTTGTACACTTGTCTGATGTTGTACACTCATCTGATGTTGTACACTTGTCTGATGTTGTAGTCTGATGTTGTACACTTGTCTGATGTTGTAGTCTGATGTTGTACACTTGTCTGATGTTGTACACTTGTCTGATGTTGTACACTTGTCTGATGTTGTAGTCTGATGTTGTACACTTGTCTGATGTTGTAGTCTGATGTTGTACACTTGTCTGATGTTGTAGTCTGATGTTGTAGTCTGATGTTGTACACTTGTCTGATGTTGTACACTTGTCTGATGTTGTAGTCTGATGTTGTACACTTGTCTGATGTTGTACACGTGTCTGATGTTGTAGTCTGATGTTGTACACTTGTCTGATGTTGTACACTTGTCTGATGTTGTACACTTGTCTGATGTTGTACACTTGTCTGATGTTGTACACTTGTCTGATGTTGTAGTCTGATGTTGTACACTTGTCTGATGTTGTAGTCTGATGTTGTACACGTGTCTGATGTTGTACACTTGTCTGATGTTGTAGTCTGATGTTGTACACTTGTCTGATGTTGTAGTCTAATGTTGTACACGTGTCTGATGTTGTACACTTGTCTGATGTTGTAGTCTGATGTTGTACACTTGTCTGATGTTGTACACTTGTCTGATGTTGTAGTCTGATGTTGTACACTTGTCTGATGTTGTAGTCTGATGTTGTACACGTGTCTGATGTTGTACACTTGTCTGATGTTGTAGTCTGATGTTGTACACTTATCTGATGTTGTACACGTGTCTGATGTTGTACACTTGTCTGATGTTGTACACTTGTCTGATGTTGTAGTCTGATGTTGTATACTTGTCTGATGTCGTATACTTGTCTGATGTTGTACACTTGTCTGATGTTGTAGTCTGATGTTGTACACGTGTCTGATGTTGTAGTCTGATGTTGTAGTCTGATGTTGTAGTCTGATGTTGTACACTTGTCTGATGTTGTAGTCTGATGTTGTAGTCTGATGTTGTAGTCTGATGTTGTACACGTGTCTGATGTTGTACACGTGTCTGATGTTGTAGTCTGATGTTGTATACTTGTCTGATGTTGTACACTTGTCTGATGTTGTACACTTGCCTGTATAGTATGTGCCAGTCTTCGGTTTACTTAAGGGGAGAGCAAGTCGGACGGTAGAGTTCATGATTGCTAATCTGAAAGTTTGGATTCCAGGGTTTTCGTCTATAAGACATCCCTGAGTTTCCCCAGCTCTAATTGGTACCTGGCTCACGTTAGGATGTGAAAGGAACTGACCACACAATAAGTTCATACGCAACTTTTACAGAAAAAGCTGGGCTCTCATCTGACTTATTGACCAACGTGTCCGAAGTGGTAACTTTTTAAGCGAATTATAATTTTTATTCCTAATATTAGATAACATTGTTTCATTGGTAGGTTATTTATAGCAGACGCTAGCAAGAGAATGGCGAGTAGTGGGGAGGTAACTCTTGCCTATATGGGTAAGTGGAGATTTCTTTTAATCTCGATTCATTGTTCTTCTCTCAAAGTTTACATTCATAGAATACTGTAACACTCCTTTGTCTTTAGTGTGACAACTAGATGTTATTGTGAATGTGAGTTCTTCTTTCTTTAAAGATAGACGATAAACTGCTGGCTCATTTCACAACTTTATTTACAATAGTAAAATCCACAAGAATACAGTTCATTCAGTAACCAAATATCCACAGTTTGATATAGCACTTTTACATCAAGTCCGTGAATACACAAGATAAAATTACAGGAATATTACTTGATATATTTCAAGTTCTAACAGTCAAAGCACATAGCTTCCCCTTGCATTCATCTAGCTAGGTGGTCCTCTCGAACTTCTCATTTACCCCGATCATATAGCCTTACATTCACTCACTTCAGTCAGTGAGCGATCTCAAAAAAAGCACGCCAGGTATTCAACTATCACACACGTTTAACTCTAAATACAATTGACTAAATACAGTCTAATACAAATACAATTTAATTTTTTATACACAGGTACACATGAGGTACTGGAATGTCTTGAGGGGCAAAGTGAAATAGATTTACAAAGAGGTTATAAAAGTTGTAAAAAAAATCCTGACCATAAAGGGTTTATACCTGCTAACAAATTTAGCATTGAGGACCTACCTGATGGGTACCAGAAACAGGATATATATGATCTTGTCAAAACTCAAATTGACATAACCGTTAGGATAGCCGTTAACTTCACAAGCCCAGACAGACCAGCGTTTCTACCAGGCACTAAAAATCCATATCCTTGCTACAAGACCAGGGGACAAAAAGCATTGCACATTGGGACTGGGAGGGTGTGGCGTGATTTGAGAAGCAAATTCCCGGATCGCTGTCCATGTCCAGAATGTGAACAACCGGGCACGCCCAGAAAAGATCTCTGGAGATTCGCAGTGCTGACAGCCAAACACGTGGTGTTTGATTTAAGCGAGGCGCGACAAACCAGCTGTAGGTTGTGGTTTGATGAAGATAAAAGTCCAAAAGTGTTTCTCTACGGGTGGGACGTTGATGGGGGTAACCCACAGGAAGATTGGTGCAGGTTGTATTGTGTGACACATGACGTAAAGGTGGCTGAGAAATTGGACATGATGCGAGAGAAGTTTGACGAGTTATGCCAGAGAATAAGAGAGGCACGCTTTAACCACTCGTATAAAGATAAAGAAAAAGAACTTGTGGACAAACTGACCATCATAGTGTCTCATCCCCATGGCTGCCCGAAGCAGGTCTCTATAGGAACATGGGTAGACAAGGAGATTGATGAGGCGGTTACTTTTTTAGAGTCAGTGGCTACCTATAGGTTTACCTACACTACATGTACCTGCCCAGCCAGCAGTGGGGCTTTTGTGTATAGACTTGGAAACCATTTGTTATCTCAGCACGTCCACAGCGGATCTAGGTCCAAGGAGTTAAATTTTAGTGGGGTAGAGGTGGCTGAAGCGTACAATTTTCTTAAATAAGTAGCCATAGCTCTATTTGGTGGGGACTAGTACAACTCGACGTTTTCACCACAACAACATAAACACAACAACATCAACACAACAACATCAACACAACAACATAAATATAACAACATCAACACAACAACATAAATATAATAACATCAACACAACAACATAAACACAACAACATTAACATAACACTCACACAAACACAGCAACGTAACTACAACATAACTACAACATTAACACAACAGCGAGACCAACCCAACCAATTCACCACAACATTGCTACACCGACCCTACCAAGTCTATATTATTTCAACAACCAAGCGCTAATTTCACACATTCACTCAACAATTTCACACATTCACTCAACAATTTCACACATTCACTCAACAATTTCACTCATTCACTCAACAATTTCACACATTCACTCAGCAATTTCACTCATTCACTCAACAATTTCACACATTCACTCAACAATTTCACACATTCACTCAACAATTTCACACATTCACTCAACAATTTCACACATTCACTCAACAATTTCACTCATTCACTCAACAATTTCACACATTCACTCAACAATTTCACACATTCACTCAACAATTTCACACATTCACTCAACAATTTCACACATTCACTCAACAATTTCACTCATTCACTCAACAATTTCACTAATTCACTCAACAATTTCACACATTCACTCAACAATTTCACTCATTCACGCAACAATTTCACTCATTCACGCAACAATTTCACACATTCACTCAACAATTTCACACATTCACTCAACAATTGCACACACTCACTGAACACTTCCCGTACTGATATAGTTGGCGTAAGACAGTGTATTATAAATCTTTGATTGATTTGTCTTTCGGGTCTAGCTTATTTCTTTGTTTGTTTGTATGACAAGTGTCGGTGTAGATATAGAAAACATATTTTTTAAAATAACTATGATTTATTTACAATTATTTTTCATTTCGTATATTGTTTATACGTTTTTTTCTACTGTTTTTTTTTCTTTTTAATACATTTTTTTCATACTTTAAAAAAAAGTATGATGTATATGTTTTTTATACATTTTTTTTCTACAATTTTGTATTTAACCTACGGGTTTTAAATTTTTTTTTATTAAAAACCTCTGAAATTCTTAATGTAAAATTTATTATTTGTTTGTTGAAGGTTTTCAAGTTCACTAAAGATTGAACGTAATAAGTGCTATTGTATGGCAAAAGGGCTTAGGATCTTTTTCTTTCTTAGTTCCTGATTGTAATATGGGAGGGGATTTCCTACAAAGCAATTATGTATTGCGTTTTCAACGTGTTACGTACTTTCTGGATTTACACTGGAAATATTATTACCCTTAATTTTATATAAGAATATACGAGAAAGTACATGGGAGATCACTCCCGCTTTATAAACAATGGAAAACTTCTGGTCAAGGGGAAAGAACCAAGTTCATCGACATTACATTAATTGCCCTTTACGTTAGTATAAATTATCATGTAGAATATGAACACTAGGAATGTCAGAGTATGGAACTTGTGCATTTGTTTCAACATTTTTCAGCTCATGATTACAGAGAGATAATGAAGCGGCCAGAGTAAAGCGCAATACACCTACTAATACATTCCTAAACACATCTACCAATACACCCCAAACACAGCTAATAATACACCCCCAAACAACCTAATAATACACCCCAAACACACGTACCAATACACCCCAAACACACGTACCAATACACCCCAAAACACAACTAATAATACACCCCAAAACACACTTGCCAATACACCCCCAGACACACCTAATAATACACCCCACATACACCTACCAACACACTACATACATACCTAGTAATACACATCAAAACACACCTACCAATACACCCCAAACACACGTAGTAATACACCCAGAACATACATACCAATTTACCCCAAAACTGATTTCTCAATACACCTACCCTCGCTGTTTCACATTCTCTTCTAAATACATGTCACCTTACACCTCCCACATACTTCTTTAACCACATATTTCCAAACCCTCATACACGTCCACATACAACCCCATAATCTACCCTTACACCACCCCCATCCATATCTCTCCTTACATATCACGTAGCATCCACATACAACTCCAACACATTAAGCACCTCCACTCTAGGCACAACGAAATACGACACAACAAACACCCCCCCTCCCCATTAACCTATTAAAATTATCCTCATGCCCCAACCCCCTCCCCTTAGCTACTTATACAGAAACATTAAATCTTAATCCAGCCTATAGCTAGTTATTCAATAAAAAATGTATAAAGAAATCAACAATTGTCCTATCACCTATACCTATATATTGTACATTAAGCTGATTTAAATGAAAGCCAAATTTAAAATTCGATACAACATGGATTCTACTTCGTACTTTCCCAAATGTTTATTTTTCATATTCGTTTAGAGCAAGGGAAGTAAGCCTCGAGATCTATGACCCGTACATTCATTTTTCTTCTTTGAATTCTCTCCCTTTAATTTTCCTTAAATCGAAATTTTGCCAGAGACCGATAAGGCGTTAGGAAAATTTATTTTTCTAAGCCAATTAGCCTAATTAGCCTAATCATCCATTTTTTAACGTTCCTGCTGCCATTAATCGAGTTTCTCGTCCGGATTTTGATGCAGATATCGATCGCAGAGAAAAATTCGATCAGTTTCGCCAATTAGCCTCGTTGGATAATTATTATCTCTATCGCCCACACACATTATCGGGTTGTTAGATCTGTTCCTATCCCATGTATGATTCACATTATCCCATTGATATAAGGTACCTATCCTATAAATGATCCACATTATCCAAGTGATGTAAAGTACCTATCCCATGTATGATCCACATTATCCCAGTGATGTAAAGTACCTATCCCATAATTGATCCACATTATGCCATTGATATAAGGTACCTATCCCATAATTGATCCACATTATGCCATTGATATAAGGTACCTATCCCATAATTGATCCACATTATCTCATTGATGTAAGGTACCTATCCCATAATTGATCCACATTATCCCATTGATGTAAGGTACCTATCCCATGTATGATCCAATTATCCCATTGATATAAGGTTCCTATCCCATGTATGATCCAATTATCCCATTGATATAAGGTACCTATCCCATAATTGATCCACATTATGCCATTGATATAAGGTACCTATCCCATCAATTATCCACATTATCCCATTGATATAAGGTACCTATCCCATCAATTATCCACATTATCCCATTGATATAAGGTACCTATCCCATCAATTATCCACATTATCCCATTGATATAAGATATCTATCCCATGTATGATCCACATTATCCCAGTGATATATGATTGTTGTAGGTGGCTGAGGAACTTTGCCCCGAAAATTCAAAACAATTGCCCGCCATGTTGCAGAAATGAGTGAAAACAGCGTGACTCAAATAGCGAAAAATGCAAACAAGTTTCGCCATTCTTCAATTGCAATGGATGAGTCGCTGGACATCTGTTTCACTTCACAACTGCTTGTGTTCATTAGAGGTGTGGAAGAAGACATGAACATAACACAAGATCTGGCTTCCCTACATAGAATGTATTGCACTGTTACCGGAGAGGATATATTCAATTACTAAAAAAAACCTTTGCTGATTATAACTTGGACTGGACTAACCTCAGACAATTCATGGAGGAAAGTACATGAGTGGCATGAAGAAAGGCTTGGTTGGACAAGCAAATGAGAAAAACATTCTACAACTGCAAATTAAATGTGTATATATTTCTATATAAATTATAATCTATTGGGGGGGGGGGGGGGTGGTAGACGTTCCTCGGGGAATGTGGGGGGGGGGGGGCGCCACCTCAAAGAGATGCCTAAAGAAACTGGCCCCCGAACTGATATTTGATAGTTAATGCGGCCCTCGGGCTGAAAAGTTTGGAGATCCCTGGCCTAGACCTACAAAATGCACCACCAATAATTTAACACAGCTCTAGCACAACTGTCATAGAGAATACAGTCAAAATCTACAGCCATAACCCACAGCCATAACTAACCGCCAGACAGTAACACAGCCATAACCCACAGCCATAACTAACAGCCACGACCCCCCCCGCCAACAGCCATAACTAACAGCCACACAGCAACACAGCCATAGCCAACATTTTTTAACGAACAGCCATAAACCAACAGCTATACCCGAAAGCCACACAGCCATACAAAGTCACCAACGCCATTACCAAACAACCATAAATCAACAGCTATAAATAACAGCCGCACAGTTTCAACGTCATAATAAACAGCCATAGCTAACATCCACATAGCAATACAGCCATAAGCAACAACCACCCCACCAACAGCCATAACCAACAGCCATAACCAACAGCCATAACTAACATCCACACAGCAATACAGCCATAAGCAACAACCACCCCACCAACAGCCACGCAGAAACAGCCCTACCCTCCATGACAATAAACACACACCGAATCACCCGCAGTGATCGAACACATATCATCAACTTCGAATTATCTCCCCTTCCGCGAGTCATCTCCCCTGCCATAAAACATCGGTGATCTCCCATTATTCCCAAGTTTAGAACTCTGTTTCTTTTCTCGCCAAGGGCTCCCGCAATTCCACGGACGGATAAAGAAGGGAAATAACTGTATACAGAAGTGAACGGAAGAGTTATCTAACCTTCGTGTTCAGACCTTTTTTTAAAAACATTTTCTGTCATGATTTATCGTTTTCTCATTTTGCTCTCACTGAACTTTGTGGCGTGTGTACATATTTTTGTGTACATCTGACAGATGACAGAGATAGACAGCTGAAATACTCGGCTGGTAGACGGCCGAAATGTACGGCTAAGATAGATGGCCTAGATAGACGGCCGAGATAGCCGGCCAAAACAAACTACTGAGATAGACGGCCGAAATGTACGGCTAAGATAGATTGCCGAGATAGATGGCCTAGATAGACGGCCGAGATAGCCGGCCAAAACAAACTACTGAGATAGACGGCCGAAATGTACGGCTAAGATAGATTGCCGAGATAGATGACCGAAATAGACAGCCGAGATAGATGGCCGAGATAGACGGCTAAGATAGATGGCCCAGATAGAAGTCTTAAATAGATAGCCAAGTTAGACGGCTAAGATAGATGGCCGAGATAGACGGCTAAGATAGACGGCCGAGATAGACGGCTAAGATAGACGGCCCAGATAAAAGTCTTAAATAGACTGCTGAGTTAGACGGCCGAGATAGACGGCTAAGATAGACGGCCCAGATAAAAGTCTTAAATAGACTGCTGAGTTAGACGGCCGAGATAGACGGCTAAGATAGACGGCCGAGTTAGATTTCTAAGCGAGACGGCTGAAACAGACGACTGAGATAGACGGCAGTAGACGGTTTACATACTGAGCCAGTACGTTGTAGATGACCGAGATACATGGCCAAAATAGACGGCCAAAATAAACGGCCAAAATAGACGGCCGAACAGACGAGTGAGATGGACGGCAGTAGACGGTTTACATACTGAGCCAGTACGTTGTAGATTACCGAGATACATGGCCAAAATAGACGGCCAAAATAAACGGCCAAAATAGACGGCCAAAATAGACGGCCGAACAGACGGGTGAGATGGACGGCAGTAGAC